CGAAACATTTGTTCAAGTTTGGATGTCTGTTCTCTGTGAATCTACTTAGATACAGCAAATCTTCATTGAAGTGTGAGGCGGCAACTTCTGAATCCGTAGCTGCAATGAATAACACAGTATCATCTGCAAAAAGATTAATGTCGTAAAAGTCGCAAGTCATTAATATTCATAATAAATAAAAGGGGCCCTAATACACTTCCCTGGGGCACTCCAAGGTTATTCTCCATGGGACTGGAAACAGAATCATTAAAAAAAGTCCGTTGAGTTCTGTCAGATAAACAGCCCTCAAACCATTTATACATATGTAGTACCGTAAAACGGGGTATCTTTGATAATGCGGGTAACTTTGATAGTATAATATAAAGAATAAATTTACTCGCTGTGCTTTTTTCCAAATGAGAAAAATTGGTTCCATATTGTAGCTTAGGGTTTTTCCGTTCATATGGTATATAGTTTTTATGCAGTATGTGTTACATATTTTACAAAAATATTAATAAACCATTTTCGTGTTTTTCGCCTTTTTGAAAAAGCACTCAAATCATCACTTATGAAATGTATTTCCGATACAGCCATCACAAATTCAATGTTGTATTCTTATTGCTTATGAAGTTTCCTGATTATATACTCATTCAATGTTTCATATTTAGAGAACTAAATTGTTTAAGTTTCCTCCTTTTTTTCTACATTCATCGAGCATTATCAAAGTGACCCCAAATCAAAATACTGAAGTTCGGTCACAAAACTTAAAAAATAGTGCAAATGCTTTAATTTTCGTTCAACATATTACCAACGAATAAACTCTTGGATCCTCAGTACTTGTTTTAAAAATATAAAATTTAAAAAACAGTCATTGCTGTAAAAAATATTTAGAATATACTTTAAAAAACTATCAATGTTACCCCGTTTTACGGTACTCGTAATTCCAAAGCGTCTTTCCACTTTGCTAACACCAAATTCAACGCAGTTTCACAAGAATGACCTTCCCGATATCCTGATTGTTCTGGTATCAACAAAGAGTTGCTATTCAAATACTTCAACAGCTGGCCTTTAACAACAAGTTCTAAGATTTTCTCTAATGTGTGCAACATGTTGATAGTACGAAACTCTTTGGCTTTAATCGTTCCAGCAACTTTTTGAATAGGAACCACTAAGGATTTCTTCCAAATTTGTGGCACATGTCCATTCTGCAATGATCTATTAATAAGGTCCAGAAAGATGTGGCCAATGACAATCTTGAATAACTCTAGCATTAACATTATCTACTCAACGGCGCCGGTGGTGTAGTGGTAAGCGTGATTACCTCTCACCCCAGCAGGCCTGGGTTCAATCCCAGTCGGCGCCGCCGGGATGTTCTGAGGCATAGCATCTCTGATCACGCCTTCCTTCGGATGGGAAGTAAAGCCGTTGGTCCCCGGTTCATGAGTTGATGGGTCGATAGGTAGGGTCCAGGTGTGGGAGCTGCCTTCCTGGCACGTCGGTAGCATTGGTGCTCAGCACGGAAAACAAGATCGACGGAAAAAACAAACCAAAGGAAAAAAAAAACATTATCTACTCCAGCCGATTTTCCTAATGAAAAGCAAATAACTCTACACGGGAAGAAATCCGATTCTATTTTCATGAATAAAAAATCAGAACTGAAAAAACGTTCCATGCCATGAAATCATAACAATGATCGACAATTTTATGATGGAAATTCATGATTTCACAATGCAGCGGAATCATCACCGATACAAGCGTTACACGTACCTGACAAACCGTGTTCATAAAACGAACTACATAGGTCTCTCTTATACACCTTTTGCCTTCCTTCTTAAACAAGTACTGATCTAGTGATTAAAGTATGGGTTTAATGATCCCAAAGTTCCTGGTTCGAATCCAGTCTGATGTTTTATTTTATTTTGTTTTACATGTTTTGGTTAAAAGCTGAAAGTTAAATTCAATAATTTAGTTCATGGTTTCCACTCGGATGATTCATGATTTCGGGAATCTTGATTGCGTTACGCAAAAATAGCTCATGATATCATGAATATTAGTCATGGTGCAAAAAAAAACCCAATATTCGCAGACTCAGCGTATACGTAAGCATAGAAAAGATTAGCACATGCACAAAACCACCACACGCCAAACAGGTGAGAATGTTTTCGTGTAGTTATGTAAGCGAATAAACATTGAAGGGCAACAGAAAGTGGTCATTTGAGCAATCAGCATACTGTTAAGAAATGAGAACGTTGGTATAGAAACAGAAAAATAGCATTCATTGTCACCTTCCAAACAAGGAAGCTAAACGGCAACAAAGAGCAGGGCCATGCAGAGTAGCAAAATTAAAACTAAAATAAACAGATAAGTCAGCCAGAGTATACCGCTACGTTCGCTTCCTCGTAAGTATAGAATAGGGAATCAGACTCATGATACTAGAATATATGCAAATGAATTAATCGATGAACACTATGTACTAAGAATTAAGAGAGAGAAAATGTCAGCCATATTGAATGGTCTATTAGCAGGCGGGTTCTGGTTGTGAAAAATGGGGTATCTTTCCAGATGTCTGTGGTACGGCGAGGGGCGAAAAGCAGGCTAGGTGAAAAGGGAAAAAGTGTATACCTTTCAATATATTTTGTAATCCTTTCTTTTCTTTCTCATTACCAAGTTAACGCTCGCAAATATAACAAGTGAATTACTCACTCGGTTCACCATTATTTTTCACGCGTCCGAAAGTCTTACGGTCTCCGCTTGTTCCGTCGGAATTGTGTTCGCTGCGTAGCCCTGGTCGATGGTTCTATCCATTCCGCCCATCAGGTTATGGGCCCAGATCGGTGAAAAGGGAAGAACCATAGAGGTAACTCTAAAACTAGTAGGTGCTCAACTTTTTGGCTCAGCTTTGGCATCTTCGGTTCCAATGCACCCCTCGAAACATAGGAAAATCCACGAACCCCTCATTTTATCTGTCAAACTTTCATAGCGAATCAAAACAAACATAGTGTAGTACTGGAATTCATACTAGAATGGGGTACGTTAAGGCTCAAAACACAGTCAATCAAATAGGATTCTTCTTGTTTTTGAAATATTCTTCAATCATCATCATTAACACATACATTCACACACAAGCTATTCGAAAATTTAAAGCAAGTATTTCATGATTTTACATCGTATATTTTCTGGGTAAAACACCATCACTGCATTTACTTACTTGTGTTCTTCGTAGCATTCAACAATTTCAGGTAATCGAATACACAAAATGAATAAAAACTGGAGGTCAAATCTCTTGGTGAACAAAATAAAACACCAAGAAAATCACTCCGACTCCACTTCTTTGCTAGGGAACGTAAAAGAATCATTGAACAAGCGTTGCCAGATGTATTACGTCTAGCAGTCAACATAAGTTTATTAAAACATGCAAATACTAAGTTTCAACCAATAACATAGATGAGTGGATGATTTTAATGGTGAATGAATATCAAACACTGAATAAATCAAACTAAAAGGACCTTTTTTGGAACATAAACGTTCCAATTGCAAAGGTTAAAAAAAATTGAATTAAACACAAAAAGGGAAGATGGCAGCATTGCATGTAGCCTGTTATTGGCTTTCCCGCTCAGGGGTGTAAACAAAATGCCGTACAGCGTTGTCTGGCAGTGTGAATGTTTTGTCTACGACATTCTTATACGCTTGCATGTGTGACGTCACATTTGCTGTTGTATTGAAAATTAAAAGAATAAAAGAGACGGTAGATTTTGATCACCATACCAGTTGATATTTATGATTCATTGACTGTTTTGGCACGTCGACGCACACTACAAACGAATTTTACCAATACTTTTAGAAAGTGATGATTTAGGAATACAAGAAGAAGAAGCAAAAGCAAATCGAGTGATGGTTAGTTGCCTCTTAATCGATTTGCTTGGAACCAATAGGCTAGTCAAGTAGTGAGCAAATTTAAAATCGTTAGTTTCGAATTGATAGTTGGTAAGACGTTGCCTGATAACAAGCAGTATCAGCAACAATCAATACGAAACTAACGATTTTAAATTGGCTCACCACTTTAGTAGCCTATTGGTCCCAAGCAAACGATTAACGTACCCTATTCTAGTTGAAATTCTATTACTACACTATGTTTGTTTTGATTCGCTATGAAAGTTTGACAGATAACATCAGGGGTGTGTGGATTCATGCAGAACATGCAGGGGTGAGTGAAATAGCTTGGGACTGCTTGGGACCGTTGTTCTGGTACTGAGTGAGCCAAAAATAATAATGATTTTCTTCGGGACCTTCTAGTCTTAGAGTTACCTCTATGGTATCAGTGTTTAGTCGGGGCGTTACTGTAAGTAGCTGTTAATACTCGACCGGATGTGTCAGCAAGCGTGTCGATTCTTGGTCGAAGCGTGAGTACACCTTCGGAAGCAGATTGGGTGGAGTTGAAAAAAGTAGTTAGATATCTCGTTAAAACCAGTTACTACAAACTCAAGCTAACGAGTATCAGGAGTGAACCACTACAGTTAATCGGTTACAGCGACGCCAACTGGAGCGGCGACACGGATAACCGCAAATCCAACACCGGGTATTTGTTACAGTTTGGGCAAGCGACTATCTATTGGACCAGCCGCAAACAGACTAGCGTATCACTATTGTACGAGAAAAGCATAAAACATTTAATAATACAAAACGATTATGCAAAGGCTGATAATTTTCTTTATTATTACCAACGTGTAGCAAAAAAAAAGAGTATCCATTAATTGACAAGGTCTGAAGAATGTTTCATGCTTTCAACTCATAGGGGAAATGGCTCTAATGTTGGCCTATGGATCTAAGATTGGGCCCATCGCTAATAATCTGCTATTTATCAATTGTTGCTAGATGAACGCGTCATTGGGACGGTACTAGTGGATATTTTTGGTTGCTATTGAAAATTTAGTCGACTGCTGAATTTATGTATGGGCCCAAATTAGGGACACTTAGGCCGACATTACATACATTTTCCCTACATTCAAAATTCCATCGCACATTTAGCAATTGTAACATATTTCCGGATAGGGAATTTCTGACAGAGCAATGTTCAGAATATTCTGAAAGTTCCACCGCTGAAAGGACAACATCATGTAATTTCGGAAATCGAAGTTTGTGTTTATCTGAAAGATAAGCCATTCATAATACATGTTGCCTAGCAATATGTGTGTTACTTACCGCTCGCGCTATCATTTGCACGTGGGCATTATTTGGGTGCCCGACGATAATAATATCGTTCTGGCTGCTTATCGACATGAACTTCAATGTGCCCGATACCTCACCTGTGGCAAATACCCGTTTTGTAGTTAATGGTAAGTCAAACTGACCGTAGGTCACCAGTAATGTCCCCGAGCCCTGGTACCCTTCCAGGTCTGCGTAAAAGTCCAGAGCAATGCCAATGTCGCGCCAAAGCATGTTGGCTTCAATTTGAGCTTCCGTATCGAGCAGAACTTGCCGGAAACGCTGCATATTCAATTCCATTGTACCGATTTTGGATACGAAACCAGAATGAAACGAGACGTTGCCTCTCAGCTGTATGCCATAGGATTGAAGTCTGCAAATCATGAGATGCTTTAGAAATATTTATCCTGTTTTTAAAAGTCACCAATATAGTCACTCAATGGGTGCCGTGTAGTCATCGATAGGCAAATCTGGCCCCGTTATATACCGGTTTTCGAGAATTTCAACAACACGTTTGGTAATCTTTCGAATGTACATTTCAGAGCCGATAACTGAAAATGATATCATAGTCAACATCTATAAATCAAATTTCAAGGCTTTATTAAACTACGTACGATTTACCGCAGCATGTACACTGTCGCAGGCAAGAAAAACTATAACTCCATAATATATTGCTGAGGCCTTCATCGTGGACTCGGGTGGAACTTTTGACTAACCAGAAGTAGCTTCCATGGAATCGCTCGAGCTATGGCTCCTATCAGACGGATTTAAACTGCTGAGATATGAGCTAATAGCAATCGATAATTACGATAAGTGTCTGCGATTCAATGGCCCAATCTTATTTGGCTGACGGAGCTCGGTCAATAAATTGAAAGGAGCATTCAATGCGTTAATATTCAAGAAGCAACTGCGTTGTTCCAAGAAAAATTAAACTTCGTTTCTCGGAATTCAAATTTGATTGCGCATTTCCAAGTAAAATTTGACTTCGCTTCTCGGAATACAAATTCGATTGCGTTGTTCCGAGTGAAATTTGACTTCGCTTCTCGGAATACAAATTCGATTGGCCATTTCCAAGTAAAATTGTCCATGTTTTAATTGCATGCTTTGTAAATGCTTTATAAACGACGTATTAGATTCATTATTCCACAACACTGCCCAACGAACAATTCAGAGTCACAAATAAGCATATAGATTGTATAAAAATGCTTTATAACAGTGTACAATGCTGAATAAAACGGGTTGTCAAATGACTAAAATATATACGGATCCTAATTAACAAAGCAGAAGCAATAAAAAATCTCAAATTGGCCGTCGATCTTGTTTTCCGTGCTGAGCACCAATGCTACCGACACCAGGGAGGCAGCTCCCACACCTGGATCCTACCTATCGACTCATCAACTCATGAACCAGGGACCAACGGCTTTACTTCCCTTCCGAAGGAAGACGTGACCAGAGATTTTTATGCCTCAGAAAAATCCCACCGACCTCGGCTGGGATTGAACCCAGACCCATTGGGGTGTAAGAAAGCAGTCACGCTTACCACTACACAACCGGCGCTGGCATAGAGAATATCGTAAGGCCCCTTTTAACTATATGGGGAAAGGGCGGTTAAGTATAATTATCATAAAGGCTGACTAAAAGTAAATTGGAATGCCCCTCGTGCACCGTTAGCATGTCTGTAGTGTTGGGAATCAAAAATCTTTGACAGTGGTTTGTTTGCCCTTCTACAGAGAACAACTGGTTCAATCTTGATCAAAGTAGTCGATCGCGTTCAGAAATAACGTCAAATTGAAATCGGAAGAAGAAAAAATATTGTTCACAAACACTTGGAAAATCCGGAGTGGTCTGGCTAAAGTGCTGAACAGTTTGTCGGGTGCTCAAAACCTACAAGGAAACCTTGAGTGTGGAAAGGAATCAGCGGACTTACGAAAAAACTGGAACCAGGAATCAGGCATACCAAAAGTACCACCTCATGACAGTATTCCAACGGCTGTCGCTTTCTTTTTCCTACAGTGTACGAAAACATCCTCAATATTTCGAATGATTATTGCATTGGTCGAGCCCTTTAACAATATGCATACGAATTTCGGATGATTGTCTTATGGTTGAGTTCGTCGTCAGATGATGAGCATCCATACACTGAAACAAGGACCATAGTTAGGAATACTATTTTGCAGAAAGCACTTATTATCAATATAATCACGCTTATTGCTGTTGAATCTACTATGAATTCAGTATAGTTGACTATGAATGTTAACAAATTGACTATGATTCTGGCAAAACTACTATGCTTGCTTAAAATGCATAGTTATTTTGATAGAAATAATAGTAAAATTAAATGAAATTGTTTTCTGCAAAAATCTATTGGTGAGGGTATTTAATTTAAACCATCAATATAGTATTTTTGCCAATGGATTTTGTTTCAGTGTATGACTGTCATCCAAATAAAGGATGAGTTTTATTTGGAACATACAGCGCTCAGAGTACAACAATTAACGAATAGTATGACATGTAAGACATACTTTTAATAAGATATTTAATTCGATTGTTTATGTTTCCATTCTGAATAGCCATAACTAGCCATTCCATGGGTTCAAAAATTCGCCGTTGGTAGAGGAAACTTCCTCCACCACAAAATAGACAACCTTCGGTTTCCATGCTTTACCCATGCTCGTATTAGCTATGATAGCAATGGCTATGCTTCCACCTCGTTTGTCAGCTCAGATCAGCAAATGACGTTCGATAGAATTATTTACATCATCATTTTGAATGATTTCCGTTATAGGGCTGAACCAGTACCATATCCATTTCAGTTAAGGATGACAATCATTCTGCAGGGTTCATTACGCATTTCAACTGAAGGCTCTATTCCTTTTCATAACATTGTTCATCCTGTATTCGAGTGGAAATTCATCGGATGACAAAACATCCGTCATCCGGTTGCAGCTATCATTCGGAAAAGCGATTTAGATGTTTCGGTTGGAATGGTATGAGGTTTCATTCGAACAGAGGATGGTATTTGTGTACAGTGTACTACAGCCTTGAGATTGAGCTATAAGCGACAGCCCACAGTGAGGATTTCATACGACATGCAACGTAGCCGTCTTGTGCAGTACACGACAGCTCGTTCTAATTCATGTATTTTGTTCGTTCGGCTATGACATCCTTGGATGGTCATTCGTAACGTTCCTCGTATACACAACAAGCAGTCCGTCAAACTGCCGATTCGTTGCTGCTGTCTTTGAAATTTTGTTTGTATGTCGTAAGACCAGATATGCCAGATGAACAGACATGTCTGTGAATTTACAGACTTTTATTTTTTTCGCAGACATATTTTTCGTTTCAGACATTTACAGACTTTTAAGTTTTTTTCACAGATATTTACAGACTCTTATAATCTAGGGAAAATTTTAAAATTTATTTGGTTACACTGTTTTCCTTCTTTAATCAAATTAGGTGCGATGCATTTTGTAACACGCATTAGAAATTCGCGCGTTTTTAAATCCACCACACCAACGAGCTGTCACTGTTATAGACGGTCATGTTGTAGACCTGTCAATGTGCTGCCATGTTATATCCAAAACGAACATTTTCCATTCGATTTGACGGTTTGTTTTGATACGTCAACTCCCGTTGGCCGGTCTATAACTTGACTGTCTATAGTCACTGTCACTGAAAAACCCAAATGTGCGGAACCCAATGTGCGTTCAGGATAAAATTCAATAGCGTCACAGCGAACAGTTTAAACAAAATGGAAGTGGTTTCACTCAAATCGGTTCAGCCATCGTCAGAAAAGTGAGAGAGTTTTACTGAATTATTTCAATATTTCACTTGTTTGACCATATCTCCGCAACCAAATGTGCGATCGGGATAAAATTTATTATTTCCTTCGTCTTATGGGAGAACCGAGGGGGCGACTCTATCTACGATCTATGACAAAAACACATGATTGACCCGAAATCCTTCCGACATTTGGCCAACGTCGAACATTCATTGACCATACATTGATCCGCCATCGGTCCGACATGTCTGTTCGGGATCATTCTTCTGGGTTTCTTCCATACTCCACTGCCGTAAATCAATTGTAGGAGAAATAGATGTAATGTCGGCCTTAATGCACTTCGGTGGCACAAAAGTCAACCAAGAACACTTTGCTTGAAGCCGATGTTTTTGGCTCTTTGGTTTGATTATACGTCAGTTATTGACAGCTGATGTAAACGTTAAGAGTTTCAGCTCCGTTTATGCGTTTTTTTGCACGGCCATGGTAACGTTGTGGTATTGATGAAAATTTATCAAGGGTGATTAGTGTTTTCAATTGTTTCAGAAGTGCATGAAAGTGAGTTCACGGTGGCTTCAAGAATAAATGACCGTCCTATCGGTAGGTCACACCAACAATCAATACGAAACTAACGATTTCAAATTGGCTCACTACTTGACTACACACTTAGAAAAAATCATGTAAATTTAGGTGCTCTGAGAGTGACATATACGAGCGTCAATTTTGACATAAATTTGAATCATAACAGACGCGAAATATAGTCCAATCAAACGCACTTTTCGTCGAGCAACGAACTTTTCAGTCTCGGAACACCTAATTTTACATGACATGTTTGTTTACGTCTCATCTTTTATGTCAAAGACGGATTCCGTCACGTGTAAAATTAGTTATTTTTAAGTGTGTAGCCTATTGGTCCCAAGCAAACGATTAACGTACCTTATTCTAGTCGAAATTCTAGTACTACACAATGTTTGTTTAGATACGCTATGAAAGTTTGACAGATAAAATTAGTGGATTTTCCTATGTTTCGAGGGGTGAATCGATTAGCTTGGGACCGAAGATAGTACCAGAGCTGAGCCAAAAAGTTGAGCACGTTATTTCGGGACCTTCTAGCAACCGGTCAACACTCGTGTTTATTTCAGTTACCGTGTGGACGTAATTTCTGATGAGCCCCAGTGACTTTCAAATTGTATCATTATTTATGTACGGTCCATATATTTGAAATGACGTTTCACATTCATCTAGTGATGGCCGATTTTCTTTCGAATTATCGATTAATCGATTAACGAACCGAAGAGTAAAATATTTGTAATCGGTTATATCATGCCGATATAAGCAATAACTTCTCCAGAGGAACATCACCGATCGTTTCAAACATGTGCTGCACTCTCATTGGTGGAAATATGGCAGCACAGCGAACAAAAAAAAAATCGATTGGTTGTTAATCGAGTAATTAAAAAATGGGACACCTCTGATTTTGGTGTGTTTTTTTTGATAAAAATGAGCGCAAAATTTCATCTCTGCCGAGGGGGCAGCAAAACACAAAAATTACCTTGAATACGGGGGGTATTCATTGGATGAAAGGGACCGTGAAAGAGGACACTAAAATAGAAAGTTTTTCTTCCGACAGTTTCATCTTAGTATTCATCTTTGCTTCTAGTCTTAGAGTTACCTCTATGGTCATACTAGGAGGGGTGAAACTCATCGCTAAGCCATGATGATGGTAATGTATGACCGAAGCTTAAAATCATTCCAACATCAACGTCACCGCTATCACCGACGGCAGCTTCAAGAACCAATGGCCGTGCCAGAGGATTGCCTAAATGCCCCTAATTTGGGCCCATACATAAATTAAGCAATCGACTAAATTTTCAATAGCGACCAAAAATATTCAATAGTACCGTCCCAA